CTCATCAGTACCGGTATTAAGCTAGAGCGAGGTAGGGTGAACCCTGAAGGCGCCGGACTTAAAGTGGCGCCACTGTCGCATATTATTTTCAGTGTAGCCAAGAGCGCCAGTAATGCTAAAACAGTTGTAATCGAATGTATGTAGAGAATAAATATCTATTCAATGCCTATAATTTTAAAGTGATAAGATAAAAAAAATAACAATATCTAAGGATTAAAAGACAGTTTTTAAGGTTAAGAAAGATATTTGACGTGAAGAATAGTATAATTTTCATGCTAAATGTGCGATTTTTAATTTAATTCCACATATATGATACTTATTGGATGTTGATAAAACTAAGGATGCGCTGATAAGGAGTTTTGCCAATATGATATGGTGATAAATTCTATAAATATAATATAGATACCGATATTGATACATTATTTTATTTTACAAAATATTCCTAAGTGTTGAAACTTTTCAACATGTTAAAACAGAGACAATAAAGTGAAGTTGGGGAAAAGTCTATTCATTATTATTATATTAATATTTGTTAAAACAAAATGTAATTAAGTATATATAAATATAATCTAAGTATTCCTTCCCACATCAAAAAATCAATTACACTATCAAGACTATAAACACCATCATAATTTTACCTGCGTAGCTTCTTCGTACATTTTGACTACAAAACAATAGTAACCCAAATTTGTTTGAAAAAGGTAAGCTAATTAATTAAATAAAGATTAGTTTAAGAAGTTTTAATGTGATTTGCATAAATCTATGATCGATACTTTCCGAGATATCGATAACTCGAACAATTCGTCTTCTGTATGATCGTGGTATTGCACCGGGCGTGCCAACCCTACAGTGCGAAGATGGTAAGGCGGGCTTTTCCACTGTCAAGATTTAATTCCTCAAGGACATAGTCGTGGGCAGATCCTAGTGTAGTATAATAGAAATAAAATTAACTGCTATGTCATAACACAAATAAATTATATTTATAATTCAAGAAATATTCCTTAACATATATTTTTTATGTGCGCAATAGAAAAAAACTACAGACGCGAAATTTAATGTTTATCGGCTCAGGAAATTAATACCATCGATTCCGATATTCCGGATTAAATAATTATATTTGGCTGATATCGAATGCATTCCTAGATAACGTCTAAAGATATTTTATGTAAAAAACAATGATTGGAATATTTGTAATCATAATTACACTTCAATCGTTTCCTAGTAGTTTATCGTTATTATATCATAAGAAGTATGAAAACTTCTGTACCGTAAATTTCAACTGACTTGTAACTTTTATAAAAATATGTATATGTTCAAGAGAGCGAGATAGTTATATTGTTGCTACTCAGATATTACGACAGTAACTAAATCGTAATGTTCATTGTTGATTGAGCGTAAGTGTGGCGTGAATTCGTGATAATATTTATCAAGTCTACTGACGGAACTTATATCGGTAAAATACTGATTGCAAAAATAAAAAGATTATATGAATCATCGGAATATACAGGAAAATATATGTTCTAAATCCAAGAATATTAACAATTTTTTCAACAAAACAGTCAGCTAAATTCTGACGTCAAAAGTCTTAAAATCGATTTGAGGTTTTCACTGCCTGAACACCTGTAAAAAGTCATATCGTTGCCTCGTTTCCTTTCAAAGAAAAGAGTGTGTTGATTTTCTATATAACTATTTTGTCAGTGAAAACCTACGGTTATAGAATTCCTCGATGTACGTTGTTACATGTCCTGCAAAGTATACGTGACGCAGGATATCTTAATGCTTATCGTTGTAACATAGGAATATCATTTGTTTAATAGATTGTAACATTATAATAATGAAATACAAGCACATCATAAATGCGCAAATCATTGTTGTTACAAATATCTAAATCATTACAAATAAATCCTTCCTTGACATGTTGAGAATAATCAGTTGACTCATAACACATGACTGCGACATTCTAGATAGGCCAGTCAATTTTCCACCGTTAAATAGTTATCTTACTTGATATTAAAAATGTGAATGTATAGATGGATGAATGGATGGATGTTTTATAGAGTTCGTAGCCTAAACATCTGAACGGATCTGAAATTTGGTATAGATGTAGAGGATAGTCTGAAAGAAGACAAAAGCTACTACTACTTTTGTAGCGTACGAAGTCGCGGTCGAAAGCTAGTAATTGATAGATTTAGCACTCATTATGTATTCACATATTTTTGTTGACATTTCTGCGTAAGTATTGCGTTAGACACTATCCACTGCTATCTATTCTTCTGAAAACTCAATGATTCTAATTGGGGTAATGAGTAAAGAAAACGTTTAAATTACCTAAATCCTTTTTTTAAGCAATATTTACAATTGTAAGTCAATGTCCTTCATAAAAGATATTTTCTTTTCATCCCTAGTTTCACCGTCCTCGTAACAAATCGTATAACATTCGGTATGTTACGATTTACAAATAAAATACTAATTTATTTATTTTTATTGTACTGTAAATCGATTATTAATGAATATTGGTGGATAGGAAAAAATAAATAATTGTATGTAAGCAGAATGTATCCAATGTAAACAGTATACATACTTGGGGATATTTTCTGGAAGCGTTTGAACTCAATGTGTTAACTGAGCAGATAATATCAATAGTATCTTTCAATCAGCAACAGGTAAATATTTTTCATATAATTTTACGAGTCATAACCATCGCTGTACAATTACAAGTGCGTTTGTGATCGTAACAGTGATTTGGTCACCCTACGAAAAGGAAATAGCTCAAGAGTGTCGAGTCGCGATCGGCTAAGCGGAGCGGAAGTGTCGGCCGTTCCCACGGACTCCATCCGTTAGTTCACCTCGTCTCCCTGTCCCCCGCACCCCGCCGACATGCCTTACACCTCTGCCTTCTTCTTGGAAATAGCTTTGATGAATTCCACAGTGTCAGTGGATGACGTGGAACGTTAGTTGTTTGTTTTTCACTTGGTGCCGTCAATAGAATAAATACTGCGGTGAAGATAATATTTTTATGACAACTAATTTGGTGTATATTCCAAGTTACATATTTTTGCTTGGCTTTAGAAATACAGAGAACAGTATCAATTGCTGTGTATTACTTCTCAGGGTTGCCGTACATTTTCTAAGTTTAATTATGTTAGTTATAATATTACGTAAATTGAATGTACAAGACTTGTTTACTTTGATATGTCAGTTATACGGAACATTGCGACATTCGCATTCTTTTATATTTCCATCGGTATTATAATAATGTCTTAAACATCCAGTTTTCCTTCCTCGTTATGATTCGCAGAATTATACAGATATTGTAACATACTTACTTGATTTCGCGATTCTGTTTATTGTTTTAAACTTTGCGTTATCGACTTTGATTAACGTATTTTCCGTTACACATATTAATTTAATACTAAATTTTCTTGTCCAATTCTTACGGAACGCAATCAAATATGTAATCTCTAAGTTATAGTAGATTAGGGACGTTGTAATATAGATTACGAAATGAATAGATGATTTTTAGCCATGGGTTACTCGACTAAAATTGATGACTTGTAGATCAGTTCACGATTCGTATTGGAAGGGCAGATTAGTTAATCGACTCGCATCTGCGAGCTTATCTAAGCTCCATATGTACCGTCCATAGAGATATGATTTGTTTAAGTTGCGAGTCACCAATCAGTTCGCCTTAAGCCGTTAGCTGCTTATTTAATTCTTGAGCCATCCCAATAAATGTTACAATCATAATACTTTTTATTTAGAATCGCCTTATCTTGTTTTATTTCATTGCCGTATTATAATAGAACTTGTATGTAATGTGTATTGTGCCGAGTTGATTTGAGTGAATGTTTGTTTACATGAGGAATTTGAGTCGGACACGAGTCGGGGTTGGCTGAAGCGACGTCGTTGTTCAAAAATGACGGCCGCAATAGGTCAGCTGATGTCATTGTTTAGTCTACAGCCCAGCTAGCGCCGGATCGTTGCTACGTGTTTCACTTTAATACTGTGGAAGCATTGTATTGCTTTGCCAACTACGTAATTACAGTTTCATGTAATTGAATTAAAATACTTACTAGTTAGAAGTTTTAGTTTTAACTTATTAATTTCCTGGTGGCTAACGATTTTACTTAATAATTAATTTCAATGCAAGTTTTCGTTTCCCATTTAAGCGTTTCAATTTAAGTATTTCAAATTATTTTTTTTATATTTGGTTGGCAGCAGGTCGCAATGATATGGTTACCTATGTCTTATAGAATTAGGCATCGTCAGGGGACAGGCAGGAGGGAACATCTGACCTCCCAAACCCCCTAAAAAAACAAACTGTTGCGAGAAACTATAATGTCTTCTATTTCTATAGAAACTTACAAGCCTTCTTCCGCCCCTTGCTCATTGGTTTATCCCCATAGATCTGGCTGGCTACACCAATACTTTTAGGTTCATGCTGAGTACCGTGATACTCGGTCGCTGCCGTTGCGTGATAGAAATTATGTTTGACAGGAATGT